GCACAGTTGTGCAATTCGAGCGTTGTGCTGGAACTGTTCCGGAACTCACGTATCAGTATGAACCCAGCATTAGCTTGGTCGGTGTTAGTAGACTACGATAGATCCCCTTTCACCACCGTGAAAAGCACTGACACTGTGTTGACGGTACCTTCAATGTCCCTCTATGTCATATTTCAGCTCCTCACTCAAAGTTTGCAAAGAGTTGCTGGAACAGATAAAAGCTGATCTTCGTAGCCAGCAAACTCACTTAGCCCTCCATATCAGACAACAGCGCCATCTCTCATCGGTTGCAGAAAGTTCAATATTGATGAAGCAACCAATAAGATCAAAGATGGATGTTGTATGCGTAGTCTATGCTCACATATCCAACAATAACACTTCCAGCCATAATTGAAGTTTCCCGAGGTATTTTGAAACCAGCTGTAGCTTCAGCTCATTTCGTCAGCATCCACGCTCCTGAGATGCTAACATTTATCCTACTGTACACATCCTCGGTTTGTATCATCGCATATTGGCGACTTCGGAATATAAATAGGCTTTACGCCTCCGTTGTTATGAAGATCCAGTGACGATTAATGGACTTTGATTTCCTTGGAAGTGGGTAAAAAATCAATAAATTCTTGGGGGCTCAGTGTTTCGCCCCGCAATGTAGGATGTTTTCTGAGGACGAGAATATATGCGAATAAAGTTTCAAATCATGCGGTTTAGCGCCGAGCGTTTCTATAACAATTTTGAACAACCTAACGAACACTGCAAACCTTAAGTTTTCATACATATAGATCAACATTTTAAGTGCTACTCGGTATTCTTTCCTGATAAGCATATTGGACTCTTATTGATCAATGTAAGATCCAGTGAAAGCTGCCTTTTACATTTCAGGTGGAATTGGCTGGTTGGAAAACAAGTGCATCGTTTCCTGACACTCTACTCAGGAACTCAATCAAAGGCAAAATTATTTTTTCTTTTTTCCGAGCTTTCCAGAAACTTTCACCTCTGTTGCTGTGACTTAGCTAGAAGAAATATGTTCAAACCTCGGTGGTGGACTTGGCACCAAAAAATCCAAACCTCCACAAATCTCCATTGTCTCAATCAGGGATATTCAATTATTTAGATGTGAAAGGAGATCCATGCACGGTGTTACGTGATGCTTTGAACGCCGTCAAAGCTCACTTTGCGGGCACGAAGTCGATCTTGGGCCAAATTCCTATCCATTTTGTGGTTCCAGTAAGCGAACAACCTAAAGGTACAAATTAATTCACCGAGCCCAGCGCAAGAAAAGGGTCCATATTAGATGGATGTTCCGTTCGCTCTGAGTTCCGGAAACATTTCGGTGGAAGCGCCAATCGTTTCAATATCTTCTTGGACATCATTGCCATTGAGAACTCAATGGAAATTGGCGATATAGGCGTGCGAGTGAAGGTTCCGGCTTGGACGAACATTGAGACAAATGGTATGTGGATCGCATGTTATCAGTCGCTATAGCTTTCCTTTTAGTGATCTCACTGACCACTCGTATAAACTTCAAAGATATGTATAAAATGGATTCAGTTCTCCAAGAATATTCAGGATGGTAATGATGTGATGAATCTTCTGTGTAATCTTTGTTAAATGCTACATGTAGGATCAGAACGACCATACAGGGATTGCAAATCAATGACCTCTTCCTGCTAGATGACACGACTGTGCATGATCTGTAAGTTTCGATATTTTTTGATGAAAGGTCTATGTTTGTCTTGAAGCAAAGTTTGTGCGCAGTCATTCCGGAAAGTTTCATTTACATGTGTTAGAGGACAAGTGGCATAGTGATATGAAATGCCGCTATGACCAAATCGGACCAAAGTTCGATTCCGCCCTGGACCAATCAACCAGGGACGGTAGTACCAGAGTAATCTGAGAGGACAAAGTCACTGGCTTGGTTAAACGCTGGCCCACGCAGGTCATTGTAGAGGCTCGCACGCATTCAAATGCCTCCGACAAGTAATATGCGCTGGAGTATGCCCATAGGGGACACTGCAGATTTTGGGGATACCTCTCTGTGTGATTACTAAATCTGTCGCCTCATTCAGCCATACGGAAACTGAGACCGTGAAGACCGAAGTGAAAGAACACAAGACTGATGCTGCCAAGAAAACCGAGTCACCGACGCCTGCACCCACAAAAGCGTTCGCGAGACGGACGTCTATTCACAAAACGTCCAGAGTGAGAACTGCAAGACGAGCGGCTTCTGCTGAAAAAGCACCACCGGAGCCACCAAAGACTGACACCAAGCCGCAGAAGAAAGAAAAACCGCTTGCTACCGCGAAACCAATGGAAAAGTCGACGGAAAAGCTAAAAGAAAAGCCGAAGGAGAAGCAGAAGGAAAAGCCGACGGAGAAGTCGAAGGAAAAGGCGACGGGGAAGCAGAAGGAGAAGCCGAAGGAAAAGGCGACGGGGAAGCAAAAGGAGAAGCCGAAGGAGGAGCCGTCAAAGAATGCCAGACCAAATCCCAGGAGAATTGCCTTACCACCTCCCAAAAAACTGATAAAACAAGCGCCGAGTAAAACAACTGCGCGAAAACCAAATTCGTCTAATTTTGCGGACTATGGGGAAGTTGCGCCATGGTTTTTACCAGAAAACGATCACGTGAAGGAAATGAATCGTAAAAATTGGCAGACACTCACAGTTGCACCGCTTGTACCAGTTAGCAATCACGAAGGAGATGTTGCAATGCAAGAATCAGGAGCTGCGGCGGGTAAGTTTTTGTAACTCTCTTAATATTTCTTGCTCTCTTTCTTGTTCTAAACCTAGAAATTGATGTAATAGAATTTAACCATTGTTCCGACTCGCGGAAATATCCGGTCGAAATGATCTTCTTAGATGGATTCATATAGTTTGAAGAGACACAGGACTCCAAATTTGTGTAGATTCTGCTAAAGGCCTCTGAACGCTGAGCTGAAGCGTTTTCGAGGTTCGAAACTTGCGCGGAACGAGGCGCATCGTGCGCATATGATGTATCACGCGCTTTGAAGAATCTTCTTGTCCAGGGAAAGTTG